ATGAGATACAGCCATCTCTGACAGACGGACAGACGGACAGCGGAGACTTAGTGATAACTAATAGGGTTCCGATGGCACCCTTCGGGTACGGAGCCCTAAAAATGGACAAAACAGTAGAATGCTAAGTTTTGTCTTTGCCTATTTATATATTAGCGCGTAAAATATTTTATCTTTTCTTGAATGTCTTTCTACCTACCTATACCTACTAATATTATAAATGTGAAAATTTGGATGTTTGGATGGATGTTTGTTACTAAATCACTCTAGAACGGCTGAACGGATCTGGATGAATTTTTGCAAATAGATAGATTATAGTCTGGTATAGTACATAGATCACTTTTTATCCCAGAAAAATGTACGATCCCGTGGGATAGATTTGTTACTTCATACGTATGAAGTATTTTCGTGGATTCAGCTGTTGAATTGCGTAAAGTTCTTACAGAATAGCGTATCGCGATAAAACTATCTACTCTATGACACTCACCTGCTTTATTAATAAATTCATTAGTAATTTTACAACTTTAAAATTACTTTAAAATGTACCTATTGGATTTTTTGTTCAAATTTATACGGAATAATATAAGATTTGGCGAGTATTTCGTGTAACAAAATTTCACAAACAAAATCACAGCCGAACATAGTACCTCCTTTTGTTCGATATCGATTGAAAAGTCACATCCCTTTTGATAATAGTAATAATATTATTGAAAAAAAAACATTCTGTCGCAAATAAAAGCAATCCATACTATAGAAAAAATCTTATCTGTGTGCATTTCACGCAAAAAGTACTGGACCGAATTTAACTAAACTTTTAGGCAGTGATAACGTAACGGGTTAACATTTAGGATACTTTTTACTATAAAAAAAATCTCTTTCCCACGGGAAAATACAATAACTGGTTCGTTGATTCTTCCTTAGAAAAATATCTAACGCTGACTAAACCTTAAGAGATACATCGAAACAATGTACTAGAAAACTGTAGGTCTTAATAAAGCCTGCAGAAAAGTTTGCATTAGCATATTTTTTTTATTAGAAATGGGCTCACTCTTGACCTTCATCTTAGCTCGAAGGCACAGATAAATAATAATATCTATCACCTAAGGTACACTCGCAATAACTATTTTAATGTATTTAAAACGTACGTAGGGATGCACCCGAGTAAAGTCAGGATAAAAGAGCGAGTATATCATATATTTCACATATTTATATTTTCTAACATTGAATATGATTAATGAATAGACGTTTCTTTTTAAATTATTTCTCAACTGACATTCGTGTAATCGAACTCGCGACCCGAAACGTCATTTATATTATTACGTGTGTACTGTAATTATGAACTATGTATATAGCAATAATGTTACGAGGCAGTTTGTGTGTTCAATTTAAATATTGATTACTAGCGGCTCACCCGCGCTTCGCTCGGGTTAGAGACAAAAACAAACCTATCCCACGGTAACACATTTTTCCCAGATAAAAAGTTGCCTATGTGCTATTCCAGCCTATAATCTATCTCTGTGCCAAATTTCATCCAGATCCGTTCAGCCGTTCTGGCGTGATTGAGTAACAAACATACATACTCACAAACTTTCACATTTATAATATTAGTATAGATTTAACTAACTGATGGTCTAGATTCAAAAATATTCATTGAAAATTTGATTAAAACCTATAAGAATAGAATGTACGTATCTATATAAAAAACTATTCTGTTTCCAATATATTTTATGGATAACACTAAATCTCGTCCAATAGCTACTGAACAAAAAAGAAAATCGTTTGACAAACAGAGGAGAAAAAGGTACTGAACCGTTTGTCTAAATATTTAAGACTGATTTTTGGCTCTTTTAGGTACTTTTTACCTCTAAAAGTACCAATTTAAAAAAACACAATATCAATTTTATCATGTTTACGTCACTATGTTTTATAATTTTTATTTAAGAAATTATAATAAATAATTATTTTATCAATAAGAGTCCGCGGGCAAAAACTAATTTAGTAGCGTTATGTTAAAAGTAGAAGATTATGTTATTATTATGTAATCTGTCTATCTGTCTGTTCGTACGTCACTCAGAAACGGTTGAACGAATTTTAATATTAAATCGAATTGACGGAAAAATACACATGGTCATTTCTTTAATATGTATGTTAGTCTTTAATATGTATTGTATACCTTAAAATTTTAAATACTTTTGGGTTGGCTCTCTAACATTTTTGGAAAACTTTAACAAAGCTTGGAAAAATAAGGTGTTTAGACTTTAGAGTAAAAAATATGATAACACTATCTGGAAAATTAGTAAGTTTATTAAAATAAATAAAATTGGTCAAGTGTGAGTCGAATTCGCACACGAAGGGTTCCGTAATATCGCACATGTAGGTACTTTATTATTAATATGACTTTTACTCTACGTATGTAGTATTCGATGATCAATTAAAAATGTTTCTTGTATTCTTTTTTATTTCTTCTTGTTATAGTGACAATAGAAATACATACTCTGTGAAAATTTCAACAATCTACCTATTTCAGTTCATGAGATATAGCCCTCTGACAGACGGATGGACAGATGGTCAGTGAAAGCTTAGTAATAGGGTTCCGTTGGCACCCCTTGGGTACGGAACCCTAAAAACAAAAATTGATTTTTTTCTATAGAATTTTTATATGAACACAAAAATAATTTCTAATAAAGAGACTGTCAAACACATTGATTAAACATAACCCTTCTTTGGACTTCCTCGCAGTTGGGTAAAAATATACATTAGTCGCCCAAAAATCAATTAATAAAATATGTATTATATAAATATATGTATATTATATAAATATAAAAAGATAAACTTAAAAGTTTAGGATAAAAACAGGATACATACCATCCTATAATATATACGGATAAAGACACGGATAAAAACAAGTTTTCAATAAATATTTGCATATTGGACAACGCATCTGTAGTAAAGAAATGCGTAAGAGAAAAATTTGTGTCATCGATTGACCTCTTCGCTTGACGTTTCAAAATCGACCCTATTGCTATGGAAATACGTTATCTTTTTCTTTAAATAGTATTATAAAAAATTACAAAATAACAAGGCATGCGCAATGTCAATTTTAACGAGCTTTTGAATGTACTCAGACGCTGAGTGTAGGGAAGTCCCGAGTTCGAATCCGTTCATAGCAATTCGATCTATAGTAGTTTTTAAAGCAATTTAACCGATTTTAAAAAGGTTAGGTACTAGATTCGAGTGTATTTATGCCAATTATGAAATATGAAAAACTTTAAGAACATTTGTTCGAGTATCGGAAGCCAAGCGCATCTAGTTGTATCATAAAAATAATGATTTTAATACAGATAAATAAAACATTTGTATACTAAACGATATTTAATTGACATAATAAATAAGTAATTCATAAAGTATTATTATTAACTTTCCTATGAAATATATATTCTATATTTATCTATGATAAATTCTATGATAAATCTGTATTTATGGTAATTTTTGACATTTTAAATAATACTATTTGTTCTCGGACTCCACGGTCATGGTCTACTGTGTTTGCCGACCGTGTTTGCTGTAAACTATTCGAAACGTCGTGAACTAAATAAAAATCGCATTAGATTCACTATAAAATCCAAGAAAAAATATTTTATTTTAAATAAAAAGTAATATTTAATTTATAAATTGCGTTAAAAAATGCTAGCAACGACTTAAAATATTTGAGCTTCTACCCAGACTGTTTATAAATTTTCTATACATATAATAAAATTGTAATTAAGCCGAATCTGTACATTTTGTCTGTCTGTCTGTCTGTCTGTTACCGCATCACAGAAAAACCACTGGAGAGATTTTGATGAAATTTGGTATGGTGATAGCTGGTTATCCGGGTCAACATATAGGATACTTTTTACCGCTAGAAAGTCTCTCATTTTTTAAGAAAAAATACAAAAACTGCAATGTAAGAGTTTACTAATATGTATGTAAAACCTAAGAATTTGGTTTTTGGTCATCTGAACGCGGGCGGAGCTGCGGGCAATGCTAGTTATAAATACAGGTCTTGTGAATAAATAAATAAAGGGGCTTACACACGATATCTTTCTACAGTTATCGAAGAACAGAAGTTCTAGAAATTGTATTGAATTCATGACAAACGAAAGCGTTATGTCATCGAATCATCATAATATATAATTCCCATAATTTCCATATATATGCCATAGATTTTTATTAATAATAATTGGTATCAATTTGAAACATTTTTCAAGTGTATAGTACGGCAAGTGGTAATCATGTTAGAAATGATTCGCACATGAAAATATCAGAGGTTCGAGACCCGGGATTTGAACCCGCTTCACTCGGTTTCTCAAGCGAGCGCGTTACCACTGGGCTACCACTGCCTACTCTTCTATATAAACTAATAAATACGTGTTTTAGAATTTTTCGAAATTCATCCTATAAGAGGGTAAAATAGAGGATAAAAGTTTGTATGAAACCTACCTTTTTAGAGATATTTTTGTAGTTTTAGCGCGAGCGAAGCCGCGGGTTCCGCTAGTTATACAATAATTTGGTACTATTGACCTGATCTGACTGATCTAGAGTCAAAAGATAATTAATAGATGTGACGATTTTAATTTTGCTATATCATTTAACTGACCAGTAAGTTAAATATTTACTCTAACTGGGAATCGAATTCATGACCTTGACTTTACACTTACATCTAAACTGCCATAATTATGTGTAACAAGAAAATAAACAAGTAGTACATAAGATATATATATATGTTTTGTCCTGTATTGTAAATGTTGACAAAACGTTTGCGTTTGCATCATTTTTGATCCCATGTTTCTTTTCAATGTTTTTAAATAAACTTCAAGTAATAAAATGACTTTAGACAAAATCTGAATAATATGCCACCACCATAACTTGATGGTGCTGTGGTCTGCCAAAATAAAAAGACTTTATAAGCGACATACAATCTTTATGCAAAAATAATAACAAAAACATTTTCCTTGTTACAGAAACAATTTTGCAACGTACGCACAGAGGTCTGCTGCAGAATAGAAGTAGCTATCACCAACACTCAGGGATCATTCTCGAACCAAGGCTCCGTCCTAAATAGTCAAGCTAGTTACGGAGCCTCTTCAATTGGCAAGGGATCATATGGATCAGCAGCTTCTTTCGGTTCTGGTATAGGAGGCGTCAAGAGAGGCCCAGCTGGATCAAATTCCTTTGGCATTGGTCCCACAATTGCCCCAACGACCTCACAATTCGGCGCTACTAACGGATTCAAAGCTACAGGACAAACGAACTTCATCGAAACCGATTCATTGACTGCTGGCAGCGAAGCAGCCGGCTTTTACCGACCTGGTGCTGTTGGATCTAACCTTAAACCTGGTATCCCCTATCTACCTCCAGTCGATAACACCAACAGTGGTACTAATATTGTCAGTTCAACATCCTTCCCTACTCCCGTTTTAGTCACCACTCCCAGACCTATCCTCACCTCTGCCAAGCCTACTTACTTGCCACCTCCTGTAACCTCCACATCAGCTCCAGGATATCTCCCACCTATTGGAGAACAGACAATTAACAGAGAAACTTTTGTGCCCGCAAATCCCGACTACGAAGAAGGCTCCATAATCTTGGATGAAAATAGACCACCGAGAGTCAAACCTACACCAATTCCAGTACCCATTGGGCCCATCCTAAGTTAGTATATTTTAAATAATTTTCTAAAATAAGGAAACTTATTTATATAGTATAACACCATCTATAAACATATTAGCATAACCAAGTGCTTTTTCCATTGAAGTTCTTTTGACATTGAGTCATTTGTCTGTTCAAGTTGCCAATTTTAAGCTCAGAATGCAATGTTGATTAAACTTTCACAACATTCTTCACGAATACTTTAAATTAAATATGATTTATTAATTATTAGTAGAACTGCTATCAAAGTCGTGGTAGATTCCTCACGACCTTACATACTGACATTTAAATAAAAAAAAAAACGGATCATAAATGCTAGTAAAAGTCTATTTAAACAAAGTATATTTTTTAACGAATAATCTTCTTCGTCTCATCTCCATTCTACGTGACATTGGCAAAGTAATCTGTGCTTAACTGAGCTTTGAAGCCATTAACAAGAAAATTGAGTTGAGTTTTGATTTAATTTGATCTATTGTTATAGGTGAAATTCCAGCTGGCTGTGCTGCTGCTTTAAAATGCACACCCATCGAGTTTTGTACCGCTGAAGGAGTTATTTCAAACACGACTGTCATTTTAACCAGAGATCAAAACGCATATAGAGTACCTCTCACTGTAAGTATTATACTATCACTATCATATACATCAACTAATATAATAAAATGTTCTTGTCGGTTTGTTACCTTCATCATATATAAAATTAGGTTTTCAAAACCTTTGAAGATTTCTAAGTTTTCGTGCCAAGTTTCATTTTTAGACTATTTATCTCTTTTCGCCATCAATCAAAAAAGTACTAGACACACAATCAGCGATAAAAAATGTCCTGACCGAATCAGCGCTTGTTTGAAAATTTGAGCGCGCTATTATTATTATATTTTGTTTGTGAAAATTATTTTAAGCATTGCATTTAAATTTCAATTTACATTGTTGAATATTTATTTGAACTAGAATAATTATCTAAACACATTGGTGACAGTTTTAAGAGAACTTTTGCGTGGGATTGTGTATATAGTACTTTTTTTTTATTTTTTCACCCACTGAAGGGGCTGCTTTTGAAAAAAGCACGAGACATATGTTTATTTACTTGTAGATTTCTGGGAGAGGAGATATTTTCCCGCAGTAAAAAGTATCCTATATTTCGACCCAGATAATCAGCTAACTTCATACCAAATTTCATCAAAATCTGTCCAATGGTTTTCTCGTGATGCCTTCCCAGACAGAAAGACAGACAAAAATTCTAAAAACTATAGATTCGGCCTCTGTATGGATAAGAATATCTATTTCATTAAGATTTTAAAAAATTATTTAAAGATTCGACTCAGAATTTTATTATATGCATATTTAAAGACTTAAAACGTTTCTCCTGACTCATGATTTTCATTAACATATTTTATCAATTCCTAAAATTATTATACATATGTATTATGCAAACAGACGCATCGATAGGATAGTTGAGTCAAAAAAGATATTGAATTAAGAAATTTTTAAATTTAATCGCAGTATAATATATACCAAAAATCGGTCAAGTGCGAGTCGAATTCGCACACGAAGGGTTCCGTACCATCGTATATGTTCTTTTTTATTAATATGACTTTTACTGTATGTATGTAGTATATTAACTTCGATGATCGATTACGAACGTTAAATAAAATTTTCTTGCATTTTTATTTATTCTTATTAGTTGTTGTTACAGCGACAATAGAAATACATACTCTTGTGAAAATTTTAACTCTCTACCTATTACGGTTCATGAGATACAGCCCTCTGACAGACGGACGGACTAACGGACAGTGAAAACTTAGTAATAGGGTTCCGTTGGCACCCTTTGAGTACGGAACCCTAAAAACCAGTTTCTTGTAGGGTTAATTTGACCTAACATCCTAATAGCTAAAGTCTAGATGATCTAGAAAAACAAGTTTGCATCCTGAAGCCGTATCTAAAAGGTCAAAATGCTTAAACCACTCGTGTGTTGTATATAAATGGTCAAATCCCTAACAGAATTCGTACGCACCATATTTTTTGTTTCTTTTGATCCTGGCATTTAGAAAAATAGATATTATTATCAGCATGTTGATCTTACATTTGCCTGAAGTTTATTTTTTCTATAAATTATATTTAACTCTAGCGACTCGCCCTCGCTCCGCTCGTGTTCCCTGTTACGTTTTAACGTTTAGTATGTATAGATTTCTCTGAGATGAGATATTTTCTCGCAGTAAAAAATATTGTGTGTGTTGAACCGGACCGAACCGGATAGCCAAATATCATCATACCAAATTTCATCACAATTCGTTCAAGTTTTCTCGTGATGCGTTCCCAGACAGAAATTCCCGAGCTAATTTCGAGATTATATACTTTTGCTTATTTTATTTTTACAACCAAAGATAATGACCTATTTAAAACTTCGATTAACTAGAAATGCTGAGTAGCATTTATATGATTAATATTGGCCTTTCATAAGAATCGAACTAACATACACATACCATCGATCAAGTTAGAATCAATCTAGCAATACTACCAGACGTTACCAGGTTAAAGACAGCAAAATTCAAACAAAATGGTTGACTGCATGTAATGTTATACCGAAGTGGACTTGTATGCAAATTGCTAATGGTTTTTTAAAAATAAACAAACGTCCTATTTATACAATGATCTCACTAAGACGTGACAAAACTGGTCAAAGTGTTGACTGATGGAAGCTAAAACTTGGATCTCTTTAATTTGATTTATTATTACGATATTATTATTGTCTTTAGTCCTTGTATAGCAAACTAGCAGAACGCGGTATCGCTCGCGTTAAAACTACAAAATACAGAAATGCCCCTCCTCCCCCACACGTCCTGAGCCACCCTCGCGTCTTGCAACCGTCTACCATGCCGTGTAGGATTCTCGAAGCCCTATTTAACTCTGTTGGGGGATGATTTTGGAAAATCTGTGATATACATGTCTCATAATTTTAAATGAAAAGTATGTGTACCAAGTTTCGACTCAATCGACCCAGAAAATAAAAAGTTTTACAGAAAATTCAACCCCTCATTTCATCCTCTTAGGGTTCCACCCCTAGACTAACATAGACTTTCATTGTAGTCCAAGAAACTAAATACTTGCCATTTTTAGGACTGCAGAGACATCGAAACTGGACGTGTTGGTAAATGCTGCCGTGACCCCTACTACACTGACCCTTGGCCAACAAACCAACTCGGTAAATGGGTTACTGGAGTTTTCGGAGGAAACGATGGAAAATATGTACCAGACAACCGCATTAGCACGAGCAACATCCGACCTACAGTTACGTCTAAGCCAGTGGTCACAGGATCTATTTTGTTGAACAATTTCATGTAAGTTTTGGTTCTACTTAGTTTATTAAATAAATAAATAAAATAAATAAATATGTTGGGACATTTACACACAGCACCATCTAGTTCCATGGGAAGCTACGAGGCCTGTGTTATGGATACCAGATAGTTAATACACAACACATATATAACTTTAAATACATACATATTATAAATATAAACACCCGTGACTGGAGTACAAACATTCGTGCTCATCACACAAATGAATGTCTATAGCGTGACTCGAACCCGCGACCGCTGGCACAGCAAGTATGGTCACTACAAACTGAACCAAACCTATCGTCAAATTTTTGATTACATAAAAGATCTTAAGTACGATTTTCTGTAGTGAAAATTGAGTAAGTTTAAAAATATCCAATACAACAGATTTAAACATAAAATTAATATTTTCTTATTGACACGTTTTATTAAAACAATGGATAATTTTGGCTTAATTAAGAAATTGAAAATAGTCTCATTTAATTTTTTAGGACGACCAAAACTCCCAAATACCCCACCCCTACTCCCTTCCCGACGACGAATCAGTTTGGTCAAGGAAGTGTAGGAATAATCGGCCAAGGAGGTCAAGGTCAATACGGCCAAGGAACCCAAGGACAGTTCGGCATAGGAGGACAAGGTCAGTTTTTAAAATTTAAGTCATACATTACCAAAAATACATTACTATAAATCGGTTTTATATTCAAATTGATTGAAGGGCTTCTCAAAAACTGTTAAAAATCTATATCAAAATAGTATGACAATGTCATATATCAAATGAAAATATTGCATAATACCACAATCATATGTTTAACAAAATAAATGATCATGGACATTATCACTGGGTTTAATCGATTGTCTGTTGACTTGGACTGTACGAGCCCAGTAAAAAAGAAATTCTACGTAGAAAACAAAAACTAATTAAGTATTCTGGATAAATACTGAAATTTCTGATATTAATCAATTATCTGACATAAATAATAATAATAATAAACCCTTTATTGTACACTAAAGAAAATAATAACAAATTAATAAGGAAAACATAGATAGTGCACAATAAGTGGCCTTATTGCTAAATAAAACAGCGGTTTCTTCCAGTGACCTTTTAAGTGTAGGGGACAACAAACTGTAACTTTATAAATTAGAAGTTTTGCCCAATATATTCCTGAAACTTGATCCCAATAGTACAGAAACACACAATACTAAAAAACATACTGTTCATAGATTTAAATTACTTTTCAGTAATATTAAAGAACGTAACAAAACAATTTTCTCAATACAGGACAGCTCGGGCTTGGATCTCAAGTGAATACCGCTTACCAAAAAGGACAAGGACAAATTAAAAAACAAGGTCAAGGACAGATTGTCAGTCAAGGAGTTGGAAGTGGAGTCAGCCAAGGGTTCGGTACAGGCATTCGTCAAGGCCAGGGTGTAGGTGTTATTCAGGGAGGAGGACTAGGAATTCGTCAACAGCAAGGACAAGTTGTATCGCAAGGTCAAGGAGCATTTGGAGTTAAAGGACAGGTAAGATTTTGCATAGAGAATTATTAGATTTTGTGAAAACCTGTAAAACTCTAAAATTACCAACAGGTTGCCATAAATTAATATTTTTTTAAATATGATTTTCTTCCTCTTTCTATAATTTTTTTAAGATGACATAAAAAAATATATATAAAAAATATATCAAAAATATTATAATTAGAATTAATTTTATATTATTTCTATATATTTAAGAAAAATTATGATGTAGTGCCAAAATTAATCTAACTACTTTTTAAAGTCTTATCCCACTTTCACTAACACCAAAATGTAGTGGTAGCTTCTTCACGGATTCAATATTGACATTCAGTTTATATTATATTATAAAAAATCTTAAAATTAGAGTAATAGCACCCTTTGACTTATCATAGATTTTCAAGAATTTTAAAGCGGTTGATTAACTATAATATATATTAAATTAATTGTCAACAGGGTGTCCAAACTCAATTTGGAGTTGGAACTGGTATACGACAGGGACAAGGAGTAGGAGTATCTCAAGGTTTCGGTACTGGAGTGCGACAGGGACAAGGAGTAGGAGTATCTCAAGGTCAAGGACTAGGAGTAGCTCAAGGGTTTGGCACGGGTGTACAACAAGGTGTAGGAACCGGAATATCTCAAGGTTTTGGAACTGGTATACGCCAAGGACAAGGAGTATTAGCATCTAAAGGGCAAGGTGTAGGAATAGCACAAGGACAAGGACTAGGAGTCGCACAAGGACAAGGACTAGGAGTTACTCAAGGACAAGGGCTAGGAGTTTCTCAAGGACAAGGGCTAGGAGTTTCTCAAGGGCAAGGGCTAGGAATTTCTCAAGGCCAAGGACTAGGAGTATCTCAAGGTTTCGGTACTGGAGTGCGACAGGGACAAGGAGTACTAGTGTCTAAAGGACAAGGACTAGGAGTCGCTCAAGGACAAGGGCTAGGAGTTTCTCAAGGACAAGGGCTAGGAGTTTCTCAAGGTCAAGGACTAGGAGTATCTCAAGGTTTCGGATCTGGGGTTCGACAGGGAGTAGGAATTGAAGCATCACAAGGATTTGGAACCGGTGTGCAACAAGGACAAGGATTAGGAGTATCTCAAGGTTTCGGAACTGGTGTACAACAGGGATTCGGACAGGGTGTTTCCCAAGGATTTGGTCAAGGATTCCGCCAGGGACAAGGACAGATCGTGTCTCAAGGGCTTGGAACTGGTGTATCTCAAGGCCAAGGGCAATTTGTGAACCAGGGTGAAGAAAGTTATATATCGCAAGGATTCGGACAAGGCATTCGCCAAGGTCAAGGACAGTTAGTATCACAGGGGCAAGGACAGTATGTGACCCAAGGACAAGGCAAAAAACTGATCCAAGGATTTGGCCAAGCTATCCGCCAAGGCAGTGGATTAGGAGTTGAAAATGAATATAGTGAATCTGTCAACAGAGTCTTCCTTACCCAGTACAATGGGAATGGACAGTGCGGACTTATGAATGTAAGTATACACATATTATTATTACGATGTAGGAGGTTATCTACGAAACTACTCATCCCATTTAAGAAAAAACTTTCACAAATATTTAGAATGGAATTTCAGTATGGACATAAGCTTATTAATAATTTATCCCGTAAAAAAAGGCGTTCTCGTGTTAACCGAATTGGCAAAGTAAAAGAAAAAAATGGCCGACGTAAGCGTTTCCTAGGAACGCTGCTTTAACGGTAAGAGATATATGAATGATATCTATAGAAAAGTTGTTGTAGAACTTAAAAATGCCTACAAAAAAGTTTTTGACAGCGTATTATATTTAACTTTTATATTTAAGCAACAAAACCTTTTTTGTATTAAAAAATAATGAAAATCGTTAGGTAATATTTAACTGATCATATTATGAACAATTATAATCAATCCTTATCAAAATAGCTAAGTTCATACCAACAAATAATGGACATGATTTTTGTCATATTCTAGCTTATTATATAACTACTGACTTACCCTCGCCTCTCTCGGGTGCGCCCCTAGGTACATTTTAATTTTTTTGAGCGGGACCCTAATTCTTTTCTGAAATAAAAGTAGCCTAAGTTACCCCTTATAACATCATCTATCTGGCAGTAAAAGTCCTGTCAAAATCGGTCCAACCGTTTCGGAGTTTAGCTGTAACAAACAGACAAACAGACTGACGGACGGACAGCCAGACAGAGATTTTTTTTTAATTGTGTTTTTCTTATAAGCACCGTATATAACTTAATATGCATTTAGTAAAACGCTGTTATTTTGACATTACAAACTATATATATATATATATATATATATATATATATATATATATATATATAATAAAGTCGGGTTTATTACAACACTTTTAACTCGAGAACTGCTTGACCGATTTTCATGGTTTTTCATTTGTTGGATATGTCTCCGCCCAGACGAGCAGAATAACTATTGAAACATCAGAAAAATTTACGAAAATTTACAAGGCTAGCGCTGGCTGATAACTATTTATATCTATTACAAAACCTACTTAGGGTCCCACCCGAACGAAGCGAATCGCTAGTTAAATATGAAGTAAGCGCGTCTGGCTTTAAGATCTTTGACCTTTGATTAATAATTTCTAACAAAATAAAAAAAAAACATAAATTAATGGATAAATTAGTCACAAAATCTCACAACTCGTTTTGTATGACAAACTGTCTGGTTTCAAAACAAATTGTTTCATTACAATACTTGCTTTTGCCGCGGCGTTGCCTGAACCTTTCTTAGTTTAAAGGCTATTATTATTGAATAATTTAATATATAAATATCTCGTGTCACGGTGTTTGTGGTCGCTCTCCTTCGAAACGGCTCGCCCGATTTTAATGGGTTTTTTGTATATCTGGTAGGTGTGAGAATAGGTCGTAAAATGCTTTTCACCTTCTACCGCCACCTCCCATTTTTTAATCGCGATTTTACTATTTTTGTATGAACAATATACAAATAATTTAATATTATATAAATACATAACATAAAGCAAAAGAATTTTTATTTTGTAGATTGAACGCGGGCAATGCCGCGGGTTCTGCTAGTAATAATAGAGTAAAAATTTAAAATAATAATATATTAAATGGGTCTTGGCCCTCCTTTCTTTACATTGACAAACGTAATTACTAACAAATTGTTTAAAGCCATATACATATCGATTTTAGAGTTACAGCCATATTCGTTATTAAGGGCATACAAACATACATACAAACTCACATTTATAATACTAGTGCGATCACTGTACCTTTAGGTGTAAAACTTTTTATTGAAATTTTTTAAAACACTTTTTTAATAAATCGCAACTTAATTTAAAAAAATCAATTATGTATAAAAATCAGAAAATTTTAAAATTTTAATAGATATCGCGGAACACACGGACATAAAAACATACATATCTAATATAATAAAAATCTATTATTTTTTGAAGTTCAAATAAGTTCAATGTCACCCCCATTTAAATAAATAAATACGAAATTATATTTTCATTTCTAATATATTCTTTACAAAGATTATGTATAATTTGTAAAATTTGGCAATAAATTAAATTGTTTGAATAATTTATTAAAATGCATTCGAATATTGCTCAATGACTTATAATAAATTAATTTAAACTATCTTCTTTATATACCTATATAAAAAAATCTGCTCGTAGGTTTATAAAATATACTATATTTTAAAAATGTTAGCAAATGACTGCACAAATTCTGATAGAATTTTCTATCTATAATAAGATGACGCGATCATAGTATTATATAATGGATGTATGTATTCAGCCCTTTTTAACGTCCCACTGCTGGGGGTGGGCCTCCCTTCAATACGAGGGGATCAGGCCATAGTCCACCACGCTGGCCAAGTGCGGGTTGGCGGACTTCACATATCTTTCGAAAGGGTTCTCTCAGACATGCAGGTTTCCTCACGATATTTTCCACGGGTGCTATATAAAAAAAAATCAAATTAGATTATCCTTATTCCTGAGATTAGCGCGTTCAACCAAACAAACAAACAAAATCTACCTCTTTATAATATTAGTATACTCGTAGATTCTGAGTCAAATCTTTACATTAAATATTTTTTGGTGAAATTTATTGTAATAGTCATTATTATCGATACAGAGGCCGAATCTATAGTTTTTTGATTTTTTGCCTCTCTGTCTATTTGTCTGGGAACGCGAGACAATCACTTGGACAGATTTTGATGAAATTTGGTATAATGATAGCTGGTTATCCGGATCAATGTATAGGATACATACACCGAGAAAATATCTCATCTCTGAGAAATCTATACTAACCGTTAAAACTCAACTATATCCTCACACAAAGCAAACACACAGACAAACCTGAGGGCATTAACATATATAATAAATCGATTATGACACACGATTGCATAGAAAATAATGATTTTATAATATTTATTTTAATAAAAATCAAGGCTGTATGCCGATATGTCCTTAATTATTGCGAGAGGTCGAATTAAAAAACATCTTCATAATCTAATGGAGTGTTGGGTAACTATCACTAATTATTATCAGATTTAATTAAAACACTTCAAATTAAAGAGACAGTTAGAGGTTAGCTAGAGGTTTACCATTTGCTTGAAAAAAAAACCCCAATTTTGAAAGATATATGGAAACAGCGTAGTGGACTGTGGTTTGATCCTCCTCGTATTGAAGTTGTCCACTCCCAGCGGTGGGACTTTAAAAAAGGCAGAATACAAAAAAAAATCACAGCTAAACTTTTTTTTTAATTGAAAAGTAAAACAACTATAAGATTTATATTGCTATATTGCAAATATACACTTATACGGGTGGAAATATTTTTTTTTTAAGATATAGATACATATTTTTATAGTATTGGTCAAAATAATTACAAAAGCAAAATTGATTTTTTTAAATTTGATTCTCTTATTTGAATATCATGCATATAACAATTTTGACGACACTTCGGGTTCGTCCCTAGACAAAAACCAAACTATCACACGGCAACCGTACATTTTTCTGAGATAAAAAGTAGCCTATGTGTTATTCCAGACTATAATCTATCTCTGTGCCAAATTTCATCCAGATCCGTTCAGCCGTTCTGGCGTGAAAGAGTAACAAACACCCATCCTAACAAACTCACATTTAAATTATTAGTAGGTACGGTAATATGGATTCATACATAAACACCATACACTTGAAAAAAAACCACTTTAAAATAGCTCAGCATATAAAAATATTATTATTATACTAGCATTGCCCGCGGCTCCGCCCGCGTTCAGATGACCAAAAACCAAATTCTTAGGTTTTACTTATTAGTATACTCTTACATTGCAGTTTATTGTATTTTTTCTCAGAAATGGGATATTTTCCCGCGGTAAAAAGTAACCTATATATTGACTTGGACAACCAGCTATCACTATACCAAATTTCATCAAAATCCCTTCAGCGGTTTTTCTGTGATGCTGTAACAGACAGACAGACAAAAATTCTAAAAACTATAGATTCGGCCTCTGTACCGATAATAATGTTTATTTCAATAAGATTTTCAAAAAAATATTTAATGTACAGATTCGGCTTAGTTACAATTTTATTATATGTATAGATCATTATTATATTAATGGACTTTTGAAAGTAGCTTTTGAAATTAAAGGTTGTTTCAAATATAACATGTTTCTAATTAAAATAAAAACTTCGTAGATATCTACGAGTATGTATGTTTTAAAATTCAAACGGCGACTTTCATCATTTGACATTTAATTCTTGATGCAATACATTCTTCGCATACTAAGCCAGTTTGCTTTTTTAGTTACTTGTATTCGCCCAGTGGCCGAAAATCTACCAGAGCCATTATTGAATATTTAAGATAAAAATATACATATATGAATAGACATTTTGAATAAAACTATCTTTTCGGATTATTTCTCGGATTTATTCAGATTTTTGGTTCCTGACGTTTCGAATGCTTTACAGCGCACATGGTCACGGGAGAGACTGAGGTTATAGACGTCTCAAACACATACTTGTTACAGACAGTACCTGCCCACTATTTTACAAAAATGATTCGAATTATGAAATAATCCGAATAGATATTAAGATATCGAAATTATGAAATAATCCGAAATGATAGTTTTATTTAAAATGTCAAATATTCGCGTAAATCTAAGAAAGTATTATATATGAATAGAATTTACCAATCTATATAAAGAACTGTTTTAAATTCGTTTTAATGGACAACACTAAAACTCGTTAATAGCTATTAAACAAAAAAAATAACCAGTCCGATATTTTTAGTCTATAATCTATACTAATATATTAAAATTGAAGAGGTTGTTGTTTTTGTATTTTTTTTTGTATGTACGCGCTAACCTGTGAAACTAGAAGTCAAATAAAAAAAAACCTCTTGCATTTATAGCCTACTAGCGACTCACCCTTGCTTCGCTCCGGTTCGTCCCTAGCTTGCTTCCCAATACAAACATTCATCCCCATTTTTACCCACTTAAGGAATGATTTCCGGGATAAAAAGAATCCTATGTCTTTCCCAGGGTCTCAAACTATCTTTTAACCGAATTTCATCTAAATCGGTTCAGTAAATCCAGAGATTACCCCCTACAACGTCACAAACTCACAAACTTTACCTCTTTATAATATTAGTATTTTATTATAGAATGTCATAGGTGATCTAACATTACGCGTGTTCTAATTGTACAAAGTTAAGTATCATTAATAAGTCGACTATGCTACAAGTCTGGAATTCGAATTCCTGTCAGGGTAATAAAGTATATACAAATAATATATATAAGTATATGTTTTTTGCCTAAAAACATTCTTATTTTTATTATATTTATTTATATCTATTAATTGTATCGAAATATCGTCCCATCGGGCATGAATAGAGAGTGCACTTGTATCTGCGCGAACTTTTGCACTATAATATCTCCTGAGGAGCTAGCTAATCTCAGTGACATTGCCAAGAGGGTATTTATATCTTTTTTATATAAAACTAATCTTCATTCCCAGGGTCAAAAGCCTTTTGGAGACAAAAACGACCTGGAGGTAGACTTCGCTGAGATCCCCTGGCAAGCGATGATCCTGCTCCAAACTAACAGATCCCTCCTATGTGGTGGAGTCATCACTCGCCCTGATGTCGTCGTCACGTCTGCAGCTTGCGTTGAAGGGTGAGTTATCTTATAATATTAAATAAACAATTCTTGCTTATATATAAATTTAATTTGTATATCTCGGAAACGGTTCTAACAATTTGGGTCAGATTTTGTATTTAGATAAAAATTTTGCTTATAAAGTCTATCTTTGTAGGTGTCTTTAATAAAAAAAAACTTTTACAATACGTATAGCTAAGCTCTGTCATCCAGGTTCTAATAAAAGAAAAAACTTTATAAAACTGAAAATATAATATTTGTTCGGGTTATGAATATTTTTCATTGGAATGACTATTACGGACTGTTTCGCGATCAAAAAATGTCAATTAAACGCCGAAAAAATTCAGTACAATTTTTACAATTAGTTTTATCGCATTACCTGAAAATACTTTTTATTTCACACCTCAGTAGTTTACTACAAATTGTTCGGGGCCAATATGGGCTGATAATTTCTTTAGTCATTTAACTATTTACAAAGCACTTTCACCTAGAACAAAACACTCAGAAGTCCCTTCAAGAACATTTCAAAAGACCGAAATGCTCATATCCAATAATTATTCCAGGCTTGAAGCCAAAAACGTGCTGATTAAGGGAGGAGAATATAAACTTGGCATCGATGACGAACCCTTACCCTTCCAAATTGTCCAAGTGAAGACCATCTTACGTCATCCCTTCTACAAACCTGGCAGCCTTCTCTATGATGCTGCGATCTTGGTCCTGACTGAAAACCTGAGATTAGCCAAGAATATATACCCTATCTGCTTACCAGGAGTTGATGAGACCCTTGACGCCTACTACAATGGCGCTGGACAGTGCATTGTCACTGGATGGGGCAAGATTGTGTTGCAAGGTAAGTTTCTTAAACTAGTATTTACCTGTACGTTAATGTATTTATTGCTATTGTATGTATTCAGCTCTTTTTAATGTCAAACTGCTGGGCACGGCCTTTCCTACAATACGAGGGGGATCAGGCCATAGTCCACCGCGTTGGCCAAGTGCGGGCGGACTGAGCATGTCTTTTGGAAACTTACTAGGTTCTCTAAGGTCAGGCATGCAGGTTTCCTCACGATGTTTTCCGTCACCGTAAGACATTATATTGGAAATGATTCGCACATGAAATTATCAGAGGTGCAAGACCGAGTTTAAATCCGCTTCACTCGGTTTCCTAAGCGAGCGCGTTACCATTAGGCTACCACTGTCTTATATGCTATTTATTGCTATATCTGTATAAATTATAGCCTATCGGTTACTCTGATGTATAAGCTATATTACTGTAAAGTTTTATCAACATCAGTTCAGTATTTATAGCATAAAAGAGTAACAAGCATCCATCCATGCATCCTCACAAACTTTTGAGCTTATAATATTAGTAGACCTGGTCGTATCAAGTCGAATGCAATGAATTTAAGTAAATGAAATTGTTCTGAATTCTGAAGTTTAACACATTTCATACTTTGAAAAGCTTTTTGTTTTTTTCATCTAGTGATTTATAATTTACTAACGACTCACCCTTGCTCCCCTCAGGCTCGTCCCTTGTTACGTTTTAACGTTTAGTATAGATTTTTCTGAGATGAGATATTTTCCCGCAGTAAAAGGTATCTTAATTATGTTGACCCGGTTAACCAGCTACCATCATACTAAACTTTATCAAATACTGTCCAGTGGTTTTCTTGTAATGCATTCCCAGACAGACAGACAAACAAAAAATCTAAAAACTATAGATTCGGCATTTGTATCTATAATAATGTCTATTTCAATAAGATTTTCCAAAAAATATTTAATGTACAGATTCAACTCAGTTACAATTTTATTATATGTATAGATAAATATTTGACTAAAGTCGATACAGCTTTTTACATATTACGTCAATGTTGATCATACAAGGTAGACAAAAAAAATATCTAAAAAAATATTAATTTAAAATTACGTATAAACAGTAATTTCATAAATATACAGTAAATTACACCAAAATTGGTTCAGCAAAATATTTGATTGTCAAAACAACAGTGGCATATCCTTTATCCATGTAAAAATTGTTGCTCAAGTCACTTATATAACGACTTTCTACTGTGACACTCATTATTTACGATATCGTATGAAGATATGTATTTTTGGGCAAATATTGTTTCTGATTTTTCAAAGCACTCCGTATATAGAAGATCCTGTTAATATATATATATATATATATATATATAATATATATATATATATATAATATGATATTTAACTTAGTCTCTTTGTTAGAGAGAAATGCATCTTCCATACTGCTATGTTACACAAGTAGTTTCATCCGGATTTACCTGAATTTGAAAGGTTTTTTAATTCAATTTTTTATTTCAAAATTATTAAAGATGGTCTTACCGTTCAAATTCAGATCAGAGTCGATAGTATTAAATAAAATACCCGCATTTATTTTAAAACAAACTCTAATTAAAAACTCGTCCCTTTTTCAATCAGACGATAATTTTGTTTAAAGTGACAAACATACTAACATTTGTTTTGGTGCCAATGCCAATACAAAATAGATATAATAAAGAAGTATATATAGATGTTATATGTTATGTTATAATAACTGTTATAATAACTGATAAACAGTATGGAAAATGAAAGCGCAAAATGGCATGCATTTTGTAGGTCATTGTCGAGACAGTACTGTCTGCATAAAAATAAGGTTTCATTATTAATGTTTTTTTTATTATTAATAAAAAATAAAAATTAAATGTTAACTAAAATGATATATCAGAGATTCGAAAATAAAATATTATATGACGAAAATGTTCGAAAATCTCCAAATTTTGTCAGGGCTTTCTTATTTACATATATATTATTATATTAGTTTTTTTTTAATAGTCTAACAGAAATCCATAACACCATTTCTGGTTCACCAATTTTTGGCCTGGTTAAAACATCGCTATATGCAAAAAAAACGTCAGAAAGTTTCCTATCGGCTTACCATGACTGTCTAAAAACATGGTTATAAGTGAGACAAGTGTCATACCTCATTGAAGAGCGCTACGCAAAAGAATAGATATTTGAAAAATTATTGAAATGGTTAAAAATCGTTATTTCATAGAATCATAAAAGGAATCTGAAAAAATATGTATATATGGATATAACACCCATATATATTTTTTTAATTTCTGTCCCTCAACGATTGTAGGAGGACATCTTGTCTAGGCTCCATGTGCTGTAAATCTTGTACACTGGCTCGTTTCTTCAAAAATTGAGCTAGCTTTCTTAAGAGTGATGTACCTACATCAATTACTATATTGATAATACTAGCGACTCACCCTCAATTTGCTTCGTGTTCGTTCCTAGACTAAAACAAATCTATCCCACGGGAACTGTACATTTTTCCGGGATTAAAAATGTATGTGCTATTTCAGTCTATCTCTGTGCCAAATTTCATCAAAATCTGTTCAGCCGTTCTGGAGTGAAAGAGTAACAAACATCCATCCATCTCCAAAAACTTTGCTGATGCAGACATAACAAAGTAATATATTCTAACAAACTAATTATGATGATTAAGATGATAACCAAAAAACTAGAAATACCTGTAAAATATTTTCAATATCATATGTATTATAATTATTGAATAATATTAACATAAATATGAGTATTTGGCCATTAAATGTAAAACAAGTCATAGACTTGTTTTTATAACGATTATATCTTTTCATTTCTAAATTACATTAGTAACGGTTATTATGGAATACATAGACGATTTATTATATACTAAAATACTAGCAGCTCACCCTAGCTTAGCTCGGGTTCGTGCCTCGTTACGTTTTAGCGTTTTTAGATTTCTCAAGGGATATAGATTTATTCCTTAAATTCAAAGAGGTTCCACCTCTTTAGTATACTGATACTATATATATATAGATATATATAGGGAAAACATAACAGTTCAATACCTTTTTCTCCTCTGTTTATTAAACGATTTTCTTTTCTTTTTTTTTTTGTTTAGTAGAAAAAAATGTTGGAGAAATGTAAATTTTCCTCAAAATTTTAATAATGATCACCAGAGAAAATAATTCCCTAATCAGACGATATTAAAACGGCTTACTTCTGACGGTTCTCGAGTAAATCTGTAAAATTTAAATAGTTATAAACGCTTATTATTTATATAGGTTTTCTGTATTTTTTTTTTATTTACTTATTACTATTATCAAAACTTATAACGCCAAAACAGATTTTAAACTATTACCAAAGCTAAAACTTAACGAAATAATTTCAACCGATTCCAAGATCAGGATATACCAATAGAGAACATTTTAACCGTTATTTTTGATACTTAACTGTACAATGTTTAAAGTAATTTCGTAAAATTATGCAAAACATTCTTCACGACTAACATTGTAAAAAACTCACTATCGCTAGATTTTAGAGTTTTCTAACCTTTCAAAGATACAAAAAAATAATCAAGTCGATTGTAATATATTATAATTTGTCTTTTATATGCAAATTATCGTAAGTGGGAAAACCTGAGTATTAAATTCTTCAATTCCACATTTAGATGTTACTATGTAATATTTAATTTATTTTTGACGACTTGCTTCAAGTAAATTCGTCTTCCCACTTTTATGCTTTCTAGATCTATTAGATGTATCTATTAGAAGATCTATTAATTATGTTATTTTAAAAAAATATACAAAAAGTTTCTGATAGTTAGCTTAGTTTATTGTATTATTAAATTCCCAATAAATCAATGTCGATATCTCTTTATAGTTGGTAAAGATTTAATTAAATAAGTAAATTGCCAAAAATATTCTGTACACCTGAGTATTATCATACTCTTACTTCACCACAACATACGATCATTAGTGGATTGTATGTCCTTAGATAATCCATGAATACAATCACCTTTTCAAACTATTGTCAGAATCTGTCAGGGTCAAGGACACATTTTTTTAATGTTGGGAAACTCATGCATACCACCTATATACTATATACAGATAGTTATGTGGGTTTCACCGGCTAGAAAAGCCAGTACTACCCACTAAAACCCAACAAAACCTCCCCGACCTAATAAGGCGTTGCAGGACTGCCGGAGCAAACTACAACAACCTGGCGTTGCTCCAACGGACCACTCTGCTATCAGAGAAGTACCAGAAGCAACCCAGGGCCAAGAACCCCTAACAACTAACATTTAACATACTTTTAGTTTTCCTTTAGTTATCCCACGAAATGATTACCTATTTGTATTAAAATGTCTGCCACTGGGAGCGTCGCTTGACTTTGTTTAAAATCTCAAAACATATTTTCCTCACACCAGCGACATTTACACTTCAATGCAAATATTAATTTAGTAAATCATTACCATACGTTTACTTTGCTTAAATATGTATATACATTTTCTATTTCTCAGAATTTGAACCTTATTATTTCATTAGATATGTTAAAATATTTTAATTTTTTTATTTAATATTAATGAATGAGTTAATAGACTGTTTGATTGACATGACCTAGAGGGGTGAAGGTCACAGGTTCAATTATTAGTCATTTAAGTTAAGTTATAGGTGAGTGATTTCTTACTAGACATGTTAATTTGACATCCCACTAGCGTATGAAAGTTACAGAAATAAAGAATCCATATTTTGTTAATAATGCTAGCTCAGAAGGATATCATGTTGTTCAAGTAATAGCGCCACAACGTTGGAAATCCCCACCATATTCGAAGAAAAAACGATATTTTTTGTTGGGAATTCCTACAATAGACAATTTATTCGCGAAGAAAAATATATTAATTAAGAGATACATTAATAAATTCTTATCAAAAGATTAATTAAATGAAAGATAGCGTGTCGAATTTGATATTTCCAAAAGAAATCGTTAAGCTTGTATGGTCAT